TGAGTTGGGTACCTGGCCGGGATCTGCAGGCGAACAGATGCTGACAGTCATGCGGAGAAACGCCGCAGTCGAGTATGGACGGGTCGAGCCGGTGCTGGTACGGCCGAAGGACCATTGAGTAGCCACTGCGTGTTTGAGCCAGAATACAGCGAGTGACCCTTGGGAGTTGTTGTTCCGAGGCCGCAATCGGGGGTGGATAGCCACCCCAAAGGACCGGGTGATGGTAACCTCGTTTCCCCTCGACAACGGCTCTCTGGTGAAGACGCTGGAAGTATGTCTTAGTGGCAGAGCCATCAATGATCAGAGAATACATAAAAGTAGTGGCCGAGCGTACGTAGGCCTCCGATAAATTTTGTTCGTGCCACTGCATTTATATGGGAACGAAGTGCAAGTTTAAACGTGTTCGTCTTTTCGTTCAAGTGAGTCGTGAAAATGGGGCGAGGGGGGGTATTCGGCAAAAGAAGGCTGGTTATGAGCGCAGGGTTTGGTGGAGCCTGTCTAGGGAAGGAAGAAGGGTGACAAGCAGAGCGTGGACGAGCGCACACTGTTAAAAAGACGCCTTGCCCAAGCCTTTTCAACAGAGAGAGTTTGGATGTTATTCTCAACCAACCGAGTCTTACATGGGGAAGGTAAGGATAGGTTAACAGCACGAACCACATCCATGTGCATCTACTCCTTTATTTGCTCCTGTGGAGCAGGTTATATTGGTCCCACGAGTCGACGCCTATTCGAACCCTGCTCCCATAACCAACCTTCTCTCATCGACACCCCCCCTATAGCCACGACTCACTTGGACGAAAAGACGAACACGTTTTAACTTGCACCCCATGTACATGTACTGGTACGACAAGAATTTATCGAAAGCCTACGTACTCTTCTGAAATTTGGGTTTATTTCTGTTAAGACCCACTCTTGGTACTTCTAATTAACACGAACGCCGCGCCAAAGAACCCTTACGATAGAGACAGAGAAAAGACCAGTCGGCCAGAGAGGGAGAGAGAGAGAGAGTGCGCTTACTCAGACAAGCACTTTGATCAAGTCAACACAAGCCCTTGAGGGTAAAGGGTACAACATATTTAGGTCAACAACCGAGTGTAAGCTGGGTCCATCGAGCCACTCAGCTTTTGTTCTGGCTTGGCTGCTGGAAAGATTGGCTGTAACTCGGCAGCTGAATGCAGTTTAGATTTTGGCTTCT